TGTTTTTATTATTATTATTATTATTATTATTATTATTATTATTATTAATTTTTATTGATATTATTATTATTATTATTATTATTATTTACTGTTATGTATTATTTATTTTTTTTTATTTTATTTAGTTTAAATGTATTACATTTTATAATAATTAGTTTATTATTATTATTATTATCATCATTTACAATTTTTTAAAATAATAATAAAAACAACAGCAACAACAACAACAGCAACAACAACAATAATAATAATACATTCAATATTATAAAATATTTTATGAAACATAATACATAACATTAAATTACAATAATAATTTTAAGAAAATTAAATTACTGATCAAATAGTAATTTACTGACAAGTATCCAACATAAACTGCAAAAAAGATTAAGGAATTAAGTTAAATTATTTGTATTTTCAAATTTAAGTTGATCGAACATTAAACAATTAATTTGCCCCCTTTAACCCCCCACTTTTATTTTTTCGATAGTCTACAGAACAAACCATCATTATACAATAACATGACTAATTACCCTAACTTGCCTAGTTAACCTAATTAAACTAGTTAAGCTTTTAAATTTCACAAAATCTTCTCCCCGTTAAACAAAAATTGGGAAAAAAATAAATAAACAGGGCGGCTAATAATTCAGGGTATTTAAAGTGCTCTAAAGGAAAAGCCAAAGTCAAAGTACCCACATTGGAAAAAAAATTATTCAAAGATGACTCCTTGGATTTACTAAATTTTTTTTAACGTTAAGGGGTTGTAAACAATTTATTTGAGCTGGATTTAAACAAACAAATTAAGTTGAAAATTATTAAATTTAATTTGTTTGTTTAAATTCAACACAAATAAATTGTTTGCAACAGTTCTGCATGCAACACTTTTTTCAGTGCAGTCTTGTAAACAAAACAAAACAAATTAAATGGAATGAAACAAAACACAAAGAAAAGAAAAGAAACTGGAAGAAATAAAAAAGCAGCAAAACAAAAGAAAAAAAGAAGAAACAAAATAACATACTGAAATGAAACAAAACAAGTGAAATGAAACAAACCAAAGAAAGCAAAACCAAAAAAAAGAAAAACAAACAAAACAAACACTAAAGGAACAAATATTAAACAAAACAAAACAAGTGAAACAAAAGAAAACAAAACAAAACATATTAAATTAAAATTAACACAAAGAAGAAACAAAATGAAATGAAAAAAAAAACAGGTTAAAGAAAATAAAAACAAAATAACAAAATAAAACAAAATGAAACAAAACAATACAAGTGAAATAAAACAAAACAAGTGAAGCAAATCGATAATAGAAACAAAACAAATAAAACAAAATGCAAAGAAAAAAGTGAAACAAAATGAAATGAAAAAAAAACAGGTTAAAGACAAGAAAAAAAACAAAATAACAAAATAAAACAAAATGAAACAAAACAATTCAAGTGAAATAAAACAAAACAAGTGAAGCAAATCGATAATAGAAACAAAACATGCAAAACAAAATAAAAGATAAAACAAAACAAAACAAAACAAAACAAAACAAAACAAAACAACCCAGAGCAATGTATTTTACATTCATTCATTAATTTTCTTTTCAGCTTAGTCCCTTTATTAATCTGAGGTCGCCACAGCGGAATAAACCACCAACTTATCCAGCATATGTTTTACAAAGCAGATGCTTTTCCAGTTGCAACCCATCACTGGAAAACATCCATAGACACTCATTTACACACATACACTACGGACAATTTAGACTACCTAATTTACCTGTACCGCATGTCTTTGGATTGTGGGGGAAACCAAAGCACCGGAAGGAAACCCTCGCCAACACAGGGAGAACATGCAAACTTTACACAGAAATGCCAACTGACCCAGCCGAGGTTCGAACAAGCGACCTTCTTGCTGTGAGGCGAATGTGCTAATGTATTTTACATTCATGCAAAAATGTAGACTGAGGCATATATTTCCTTTAAGCCTGGATAGGAATAAACTGTTTTGGGTTCCGATTTCAGCCCTCAGTCAAACGTCTGGCTACATGAGAACTCCAAGAAAACGGAGCTATGAAGCCTGTGAAAGGGTTAAGTGAAAATGTCAGCAGACGTCCCCAACAAACACTCCAACCCTGAATAAACACACTCACACCTCATAACCCAGCAAATCTCTCAATACTGTAAGCTGCAAGAAGTGAATGAGCCAGAGATGGATGTTTGTGGGAGGCCAGAAACCCTGCTGAGAGAAAACACAACCCAACCGCTAAAGAGACAGCGGAGGACTCACACACAAACACACACACACACGTCTGCGCTTTTGCTAAAGGCTAAAAATTCTCCATTTCTATGGATTTTTAAAGTGTAGCGAAGGCCCTGTGTGCTCAAACTCCTGGTGTTATCTTGGGTTACTGACAGCGTTTCCGTGAGCTTGTTGCTCAAACAGCAAAAAGGACAAAATAAAACATAATTGGATTGAAAACTGAAGCATAGCACAGAATATAGGAGTAATTCCATCAGCTTTCAGTGTCAGTATGAAAAGGCCTGAATAGTAAACAACTGAACTGTGCACATTAGAGAGAAAAACAGTGATCATATATTGTTGTATTATTTACAGGGTTAAAAGCAAATAAAGTGGTTTTCAAGAATCAAATAAATAAAAGTGTAAACACGAAAAAATGAACAGCTTTATTTTTATCTGGACATTACAATGTGTATTTAAATGTATTTATATATATTTTTTTATTTTATTAAATAAAGTTGTATTTTATTTTATATTTTATCTCTATTTTATTTTATCATATTATACTTTGTTGTATTTTTTATTTTTATTTTATATTTTAACAAATTTATTCATTTTTTATTCATTTTATTTTTATTTTTTATATATATTTTATTTTATTTTCATTACATTTTTTATTATTTATTTTTTTATTTTGTAATTAAATTTAAATCAATTTTATTTTTATTTTATTTTATATTTTACTTAATTTATTAATTTTTATTAATTTTATTGATTTATTATTTTTTATTTTACCTTATTTTGACTTAACTATTTATTTTTTATTTAAAACATTTCTTTATATTTTATTTAATTTTATTTTATCGTATTGTATTTTTATTGTATTTTTATTTTATATTAAATTCAATTTATACATTTTGTATTTTTATCAATTTTATTTATTTATTAATATTTTTTATATTTTATTTTATTTTAATTAGGTTTTTATATTTTATTTTATTTTTTATTTCATCTTATTGCATTTTTGTTGTATTTTTATTTTATTTTATTTTTATCTTATTGTATTTTTATTGTAATATTTATTTTATCTTATTTTATAATTTATTTAATTGATACATTTTGTATTTAAATTTAATTTATTTTAACGTAAGACTGTTCTTCCGAATTGTAATTCTCTAAAGTCTATTTAACAATTCTACAAGGTCTAACTTTACCAGGAGGAATGTATTTTGTACTGGTTGATTACATGTTCACCTTCAGGAGCGGTGAACGTTTGACAGCCCCGCAGTCCACATGTAAATGACTAATGATTGATGAGACACATGGATGTACCTTAAGCTCCTAATTGCCATGCAGACAGAACTTTTTGCTGACTGGCATTACCGTGAAGACATTTCCATTGTATTTGCATATTGCACAGGAATCAGAGATCGTATCCAGATATATCCAGTTTTGTGAGCCTATGCTTAAGTGCAGACTGGCAGTCTGATGGATCGAGATGCATGAAGTGTAAAATAGGCCCTTGAGATTTCCCCCTTCATTATCCTGTAGTTTGTGTCTGAACTAAAGCACTCTAATATTATCTCACAGCAAAACAATGGAGTCTGGATGCGTCTAGGTGACTGGAAGGTGACTGCCTTTGTGTATTAGAATACTGTTTCTTTCTTGTTCTTTAAAAAAATAATTAAAAATCTCAATAAAATATTTTTTGCTAAAAGCTTATTAAAAATGTAAAAACAAAATATTAATTAATATTTGAAGTGCTCTAAGAAAAAGTCAAGCTAAAGTGCCCATGATTATGAACAAAACAAAACAAAACAAACTAAATGAAAAACAAAGCAAAATTAAGCAAAATTAAACAAAGCAAAATAAAACAAAAGAAAGCAAAAAAAACAAAGCAAAACAAAGTGAAGCAAAACGAAACAAAACTAAATGAAACAAAAACCAAGTGAATTAAAAACTAAACTAAAAACAAAACCAAACTAAATGAAACAAAACAAAGCAAAAAAAACTAAACTAAAAGTTTAAAAAACTAAAGTGAAGCAAAGTGAAACGAACCTGAAAAAACAATGGAAATAAATACAAAAAACAAAACAAGCAAAACAAAACAAAACAAAACGAAACAAAACAAAACAATGAGAAACATAATTAAACGAAACAAAATTAAACAAAAACCAAGTGAAATAAAAAATTTTACTAAACTAAAAACAAAACAAAATGAAACAAAAAATTAAATTAAGAGTGAAGCAAAGCGAGGTGAAGCAAAGCAAAACAAAACTAAAAAACAAGTCAAATGAAAACAAAAAACAAGCGAAACAAAACAAAAAATTTAACTAAACTAAAAACTAAAACAAAACAAATTAAATCAAAACAAAATGAATAGAAACAAAGCAAAAAAACTAAAAGTGAAAAAAACGAAGTGAAGCGATTTACAAACAACACAAAGCGAAACTAAACTAAAAACAAGAGAAAAGAAAAACAAAAAACAAAACAAGCGAAACAAAACAAAAAACTAAACAAAAAATTATAACCAAAACTGAAGCAAAGCGAAACAAAACAAAACAAAACAAATGATTAAAATAATTTATATTTTAATAATAAATTAAAATTAATTTCAATTCAATTGCCACTTCTGCAACCAGAGAAAAAAATCCCTTTGTGTACAACATCCCTTGTGTATTTGAGTTCCAACTGCTCTTCTAGTTTGCGATTTACATCAATAGTACGTTGTTTGCTCTAATAATGTATAACTTGCCATGTGCTGCAGCAGCTGAACTCAC